GTAAACATATTATAGAATTATTATGTAATAAAATAGTGACCAATGAAAATTATAAATTATTACAATAAGTCTCAGCATATGATTATTATCATAATTATTAATTATTTATTTTGTCATTATTAGTGAAAATTATTTGCAGATAAAACATTTATTTAACATAAAATATAAAAAACATTTATTAATATTATAAAAATTATGAATTGTAGAGTATAGTATCATCAACATATCAATTGAAACGCAGAAAAATGCGCTTTCACAACTGTGATCGCGCCTATCGAACTTGCAATGCACATATCGGACATTCGCTGCAATCGTGTCGCGTATTCCTTTTTATGGTCTTACATGTGTAAACAAAAGAAGTCAAGCGATAAACTGCCGTTGACACGTGTATGACCGTTTCATTCTGCTGTTCATGCTAATAGCAGAAAGCATCGTTGGTGATTGTTGATAATCATCAATTTCCGGAACAAATACAGACATCTATATATAGATAAATGATACAAATATGTATATATTTGTTGTATATATATGTATATATTTGTATTTTCTGTACTTCTGATGATCTGACAAAAATATTATTTGGAATAAAAATTAATTAGTTTTCTCAATCGGCTACACATTGCAACGTTAAAAATTTGCAAAATCTTTTTTAAGTAAAAAGTCAAGTTCATTGATCCTACACGTCTAAATTTAATTATCTAAAGTAGTCATCTAAAGATTATAGTAGGTAATTGAATTTATGTTGACATTAGCTACAATATTATGAAGTCAAAAACACATAATGCTATTAAAAAAAATTAAGGTGATTTTGACTTTTTACCTAAGAAAGAATTTTTTTCAAATTTTTTATTGCAATTTGTAGCCGATTAAAAACCGAGTAATTTTTATTCAAAACAATTTTTGTCAGATCATCGAAAATATCGGAAAAATCGTAATCACAGTTAGATGACACACTCTGTGTGTGTGTATATGTGTGTGTGTGTGTGTGTGTGTGTGTGTGTGTGTGTGTGTGTGTGTGTGTGTGTGTGTGTGTGTATTATATGTAATGACATCGTAAATTATTAGATATTTTTTTAAAAATTTATAAAGCAACATGCAATTTATTGCTTATTGCGTTATAAATGTTCATACTCGTAATATTCTAAAGACGTTATAGCAAGAAACATCTCAGTAAACATCATCTATCGTTCGTTATATAACATTTACCTAACTGTTTATGACAATTAATGGATGACGGCCCGACCTGATCATTACTTCGATGAAAGATTTTTTATCTCCTTGCGTTTGTGTGATAAAAATATCGTAGATGTATTTATCACGCGCTGGAGCATACAACGTGCATATCAGAAAAGCGCGATAGATCCATGAAATGAATAGAGATGTAACGAGGCGCGTCGCATCGAGAATTAAGTCTGTGAGTTTAAAGCCTCTGAGTTTAAAACCATTCTGTGATCTCTTCGGAAACGGTAAAAATACCGTCGCCGAATATATCGTGCTCGAGCACGCGGCAGTATACCTGAAGAGAACAGTGCAATGCGCCGATCAGTCGTCGAACTGATGAATAGGAAGTGCAATGAGGCGTATCAAGACTTATTGTTCGCGAACGTACGATGATCACGGGACTGACAGGGCTCTGTGAAATAAATCTTCATTATTAATTATAAACAAATTTTAGTAATGTTAGACAAAAAAATAAAATGATTTCATTTTTTAGTAATGTACTTGTTGATGCTATTGCGTGAAAATAATTATAATCTTAATCAATGTTTACAAGACAATTATTGTGCAAACGAATATCTTTCTATCACTTTTTGATATCACTTTCTCACTTGTAAATAAAAATGATTAATTGCATCACGAATCGCTATTTCATCTTATTATATTTTTCACCAATTTTTGACGATACATGTTGTTGGTTAGATAAAGCAGATTATAATGACTTCGGAAAATTACAGGAAAATGATAATAAGAGTCGTAGCAAGAAATGATAAGATTCTTTGTGCATATCGTTAGACCAAACAATCTGCTCTCGCTAAATCGTTGTTAGATGAAACAGACTGAGAATGATATCACGCGACCTCAACCCTCACTTATTTAGATATACATAGATGATCAATCTCATCAAATCATACAATACTTAAGTTTTCGTAACGAGTTTTGTCTGTGTGGCCAATCTAGTTTTCAATTATTAACTTAATTAAATGTCTAGTTTAAGTTTTATCTTAGAGAATTCTCATTCTAGATATTTAATAAATCGTTCTAATTGTCCTATAAGATTACTTATCCGAATTAAAGTAATATTTTTGTTGCTTAATATATTATAACTGTATTAGCAATGTATTGTATTAATCAACATATTCTAACTATATTATATTTCTGCATGTTACTTTTAAATGTAT